GGAATTTGTATCCATTACCATTAAAGACATGCAAATTTCTTGTGGAAAAAGTTCTGTTGTTCAACTTATGGTTTTCCTTCGCTGTATGGGGTTATGTATAGAAGGTTTACAAGTCTCATTAAATTTTGCAGGTTTTGACATCATATCCCTATTCGGATCCACAATATGGCGGGATGTTGACTCCTTATGGGGCACAAGCTATGGTATGCAATCTGCAGTAATATATATTGTTGCAGTAGTATATGTTGTATCCAAAACTTCCCCTCAAGTTAAGAGGATAGATGATTATTATTCTCAGCTTGTTAAATTACTCGGAAGTATGATTAAGAACTAAAAAACATAACTCTTCCTTTTCTTAATGAAGAGTTCTGTTTCTTATATAAAAAGAGAAACATAAAACAAATTAAAATACATTAAGCCTCAACTTTCTTTGAATGTGCTCTACTCAGCACTCCTCTTCAGACTCATGGGGAATAGATTTGTCATGAAGTTTAAACCAAACCTTTTAAATTTTTTGATTCTGCTTAAGAAATATTAGTGTCCACTTCAACAACTTGGTATCATGTGTCATTGGTGTACGTTTCACGTGCCTCACTACAATGGGCCTTGACACTTTTGGGCTGCAAAACTGATCGTATATTAATATTGTGGGTAAATATATAAGTAACCAAACTTCAATACCAAATCCAACTAAAACACTAGGCTGAATTTGATAAATTCATTAACCAACATTCAATTATCAATGAATAATCAATAATTTTCGTAACCATTTTGTGATTAATTAATCATAACCTGAAACAGTTAGATAGTGTATACCTCTAACCAAAATCAAAAACTAAATTATAACCGAATCAATTAATTTAGGAAATAGTTCACGAATGTAGACAAATTGGGAAACCGAATACTTAGACTGAACAAAATACTGTTTATTCTCCAAAGATTGCCTTTGTGCACATGCATACACAGTATACACATGCATACATCATAATATGTCTCTCAGGACAGATTACAAATGTAATGAACTAGTATGTCTATATGTTTGGTGATCAATGTTCCAGTCAAACAATATAAGCAAATTTTGTGCTTTGTAGTTTCTTGTATAAGCAATAGCATGAACATCTTTTATACTGCACTTTGAATATGAGAAAAGTTGTCGTTTGTTATCTGATGGTTCTTAGTGTGATGCCAGCTGCCTCCCCACTTCTATGGCATTCATCATGGTAGAATGCCTTTGCCCCTTGAAATGGAAGAGGAGCCTGTTTATGTAAATGCCAAGCAGTACCATGGCATTTTGAGACGAAGACAGTCACGTGCTAAAACTGAGCTTGAAAAGAAACTTATAAAAGCTCGAAAGGTAAACTAATTTTAAATTTGTTCGTTCTGTGGACTCTAGTAGCATTTCCTAGAATTAGACATGAACACATTTGTGCGCACATGTACATATACACAAGACACAAGACAATCTTAAAACTTAATGCTATTTTATTTTCTCTAGTTGAAAGTGAATCTAACATATGTTTGAGCCATTATGATGGTCATGTTGAGTTAGGTACAAGCAACTAGCAAGGATGAATTATTGATATCAATGTATATGTTGGTGGTCTAGACTTATGGGAATTTTTGTTCACTATGTTTATAGGTAAAAATTGATCGAAATGTAGGTAATTCACCTCAAAACATTCCAAAATATAGAATTTCTGAATGTAACCAATTTAAAATGCTTCACAATTTCGCAAAATAAGGTATTCTTGCCAAATATATGACATGTATGATTTGTTTGACAAAGTTTTACTATCTTAGAAGTTAGAAATATGGAAATATCTATGGAAATGGTAAATGTTGGTAAGTAGCAGTCTTTTAAGACTCTTCACCAATGCAGATTTATCCATGTATATGGGTAATATCAGAGAAATATCGGCAATATCCTGGAAGAAAATGTCTTTCGTTCATATCCAGAAAAAGAGATGAACTAAACATAGCTAGGGAATATGCTTGAATGGTGGGGAAAATAAAACAGACTTGCTAAGTTCTGGACGGGGATGTTGATGAGAAATATACCCTTGAGGAATGACCCATGCACGCAAGCAGACACATACTTTATGCATATGGACATGACTATGTACCTTTTCAAGGGGTGTTAAGCCTTTTGTATTCAGCTGAGTGAATGATAGTACACACATGCGCATGCGCATTCGTGTGCGCGCACACACACATACACACACACTATTTTGTGTATATGAATGATTAAATGACCATATAACTTTTCAAGGAGTGCTAACACACACAACACACGCGTATGTATAGCCATTTAACTTTTGGAGGTGTTTTAAGAACACTCACATTCTAGGGGTGTTAACACACACATACGAACACACATGTATGTATGGTGCTTTAACTTTTTGAGGGGTTTTAAGAAACATTCACATTCAAGGGGTGTTAAACACACACAAATACACACACTTTACGTATATGAATGACCATGTAACTTTCCAAGAGGTGTTAAGCCGTATTCAGCTAACTGAATGATTGTCTGTAAACAGCGTAAGGGTTTGTTTGATATATGATTTTGTATTCATTCTACAGCCATATCTTCACGAGTCTCGGCACCTACATGCATTGAGGAGGGCAAGGGGTTGTGGAGGTCGTTTCCTTAATACAAAGAAACAAGATGATAATGACGAAAATTCCTCACTTGAAAAAGGCATGAATTTGGATGCAAATGATTCAGCCCAATCTGCCAAATCTAGTTTTGAGTGCTTTCCCAATACCAGCAATGGGACTTTTGATTCCTCAAATGTCCAGCAAGAAGGATCAGATCCATGGTTCAGGGCACACAAGAACCACACCCTCTCTAGTGATAATGGCAATGGCCATGGCCCATCATCAGCATACCCTTCCACGTTTGGTGACAGCAAGGAAAGTGTTTTCCTGGGTCAGCAGAGGGAAAACATGCAGTTGAATGGGTCGTCTCGTGGGGCCATCCCCAGTAAATGACATTCCTCTATGAGGTTGGGTTACCCCTCTGGCAGTGGTTTCAGTTTATATGACAAACCATGATGTTCAATCCGGTAAATTGTTTGTTTATTGTCTTGTATTAATAGAGGCTTGCTTATATACTGCAGGTGAAGCTGAAGGCGTGCACAGTCTCTCTTGGGGTGAAACCCTGCTGTGCAATGTCTATATCAGGCAAATCATTCTTGGCTTTGGTTACTTTTGTAATTATTGGGGTGTTGTGGAAGGAGATAGGTGTGAAGTCCATGTTGTCTTCAGTCAGCCATCACTTGCACTCACTTGTGTTGTAGAAACAGTTAAGAAAGCATCAGTTGGAAACTCATGTAGAAATTAGATGTGAATGTGTAGATTTTAAACACTGCAGTTCTGTTTGAAAAGTGTGTTGTGACTTTCGTGTGAGACGAGAATTTCCTTCTCTTGTTTATTGCATCCAATGTAGTGGTTGTGGTGACTTTGCAAAGGCTACTTCATCCATCGTGGAAGGGTATTTTGACCTATATTTCTTCAGCTTTTTTGAGAAGAAACTGTATGATCTAGATTTCTATATCCATTTTATATTTTGATTACTCTATTTATTTTCTGGTATCGGTCCATGCATTTTACAAGCACTAATGATGGTTTTGATTGTTTGGTCCAATTGTGTTCCAAACAAGGTCTTGCACACGTTCGCGAGCAACCGATATTTTTTCTCACATAATTTATCCACCTTTTTAATGTATCGTTTCTCTTCAAAAATAAATAGAAAGTTGCAATGAAAGCAGTTCAAGTGGTTAAGAGTATTTATTCTGCACTTGAGGTTTTAGGTTCGATTTCTCTCTTTACAAATATCTCTCGTTTACTAAAATAAAAATAAATTTTTTGTAAGTTTTCCAAGAAAAGTATCAAAGCTCTCAACAAAGGCCCAACCCAAATCGGAACATCTCTAAATCACTACTGGGCCACGGCTATATATTACCGCGAGTCCCGACAAAGCAAAACCCTAAAACACCCACCATTCGCCTCCATCATCCATCATCAACAGCGCTGCTCTCTCTCTCTCTCTCTCTCCTCTCTCTCTGTGTTCAGCATTATACTATACAACAATGTCCCAATGATGATAAATTTAGTAATCTGAGAAATTTGCATGAAATTGCAGTTAAAAGATTGGTGCTCCCTTGTGCAAAGCTCATTTTTAGTATTTTGCAGAGGTTGAGGAGCCATTCTTAATTGCTTTGCTTTCATGCTCTCCAGGTTGAAATCAGGCTTTTCTGAGGGATTTTCTTCTTTATCCTCTCTCTCTCTCTCTCTCTCTCTCTCTCTCACCATTTTCTCCATTTTTAACTTTAAAAAGGTTATACTTCAATTTTAGACATTTTGCTTTAATGAAAAATAAATTATTATAAAGGTGATTCGGTATGTAATGGTTGTTGAACTATTTGCCTTTGCCTGTTGCATGTGTGAATTCGTTGTTGAATTTTATTAACAAGCAGCTTTAGCTTCGTGTGGGTTTTATTTACACCTCGAAATGCTCTCGAATACCAGTGGTATTGTAGCGTACTTTTTAAATAGAAATTATTACAGTTTGCAGTCGAAATAATGAGACAATTGTTGAGAGTTTGTGTTTATTAGGAGTTGAGTTACTCCTCATCGCCAATTTGTTTTGGGTTGGAACCTCAACAAGGCTTTACGTGTTGGGCTCAATAGTCACACATCCTTCTACGTTACTCAATATGTGTTGTGCAAGTGTTAGATTTGAAAGTTCGTCACACGTGTAGGGGCGTGTTGAGAGTTTGTATTTATAAGGAGTTAGGCTACTTCCAATCATCAATTGATTTTGGGATGGAACTTCAACTTCCTTTATAATAATTGATATTACCGGACGATTTGTCACGGTGGAGAACCTTATTTTTCGACAAAAAGGAACAAAGGGCAAGCATGAATAACGAATTCTTTCTGGGTTGTAGTGAATCAAAGGGCAAACATTCCTTCCTCAAATCACAAAAACTGTGACTATTAACTATTTTCGGTCATGGCTACATTTTTCCTTCAGATTTGGAGCCTTATATATCTGCCACATTTGTGCAATTCTGTCATGGACAGCTTCCACAGGAAATCGAACGGTTTTATGTCGAGTTTTTCTTCTTGTACACAACCAGCTTTTGCAAACTTCTCTTATCTCATTTGTGAGATTTAGCAGTGACAACAAATTCTGCTGCTGTTATCGACATTGAAAGCAATAAAACAAACCCCTTGCTATTAAGAAAGGTTTGCTCAATAAAAATGCCTTCAAGTCATGTAAGGGAAAACGGTAGGGGCACTATATAACCCCATTGATGTGCGTTATTTTTTGTCTCCAAGTAATTAAACAGAGTCATGTATTATTGGTGGAGATGTGAAGCACACCATCTACACAACAGGTTCAATTTACACAGCTCTGCCCTCCTATTGCAGGTTCTTTCAATGATCGAGCAATTAGAGCTTTGCTTGTTCTTGCAATTGCTCCTGTTCAAGGAACCGTAATTTGGATCAGAAATACTACCCAAAAAAAGGAATTATAAAGTAGGCGACAGGAGAAATATAAACGCAAGAACACTGGGTTAGAAGGCAGATTTAAGTTCAATTAAATGTAAAATGAAAATTACACTGCATCCCAAAGTTGTGTCAATCTGTGCATTGCATGATGCACATCAAATTAAAAATTAAAATGCATCTTAGGAACAATTGAAGTGGCACTGACCTCTGTGACGAAGAAGGCATGGAAACCATATGGAACTCTATGTGGCAATTCAACAACTGCGACCGGGTCAGATGACATTGTCTTTGCATCAATTACATGGATTGATGATTTTCTGCATGGTGAAAATTCAAGATTAGATTGCAGTCTGTCCTCAAGAAAATTCAACTCCAAATGCAAGCTGCATAACCACTGGTAAACCCAGTTTACTCTACTTGTAAAGCATGAACACCATAGCTATAATAAAAGTGATGACATTAAGATCGACAATATATATTAAGCCGGAGTTAAACTGAGACTCATGCTTGTTTAGAGTATGGAATCTAAGATTCAATTTTTAAGAGAGAGCATTGTATTACTAAACAGTCCCTTTTAATGCGAGGGATGAAAATATTACCCAGTTTTCTCGTCATGTACAAAGAATATTAAGTAGCCATCATCTTCTTCAGAGGTAACTCCGGGAACACGAGGGACAAAAATAGCCTCAGAACCAAATCTGCCAGGTCCCAGGTCATAGAGGCCTTGGACGTTTCCTCCAACCTCAATTTTTGTTTTTCCAAGCTCTGGTGCAGCATGCAGATCAAACTTCACTACCCCTGTCACCTTTGCAATGCTGTCCAGTAAGGTTCCATACACATAACGCTGCTTCCTGCTTTCACACAAGTTAATAAAAACAAGCTAGTATGATGGCAATAGTACCACATACAAACACACGCGCACGCGCACGCGCACACACACATATATGTATATATTTTTACTTTTCAATCCAGAAATCTCCCTGCGAGGACAGGAGATGCATACCTGCCAGTGTAGCTCTCGTTCACCCTGGGAAAATCCACAGCTGATTCTGATAGTTTCTTCTGGGATGCTAGACCAGTTTTTAAATTGAATCTCATCTCGTACCTGAAAATAGTTAGAACAGTCAGAAGCACCATCATGTCTATTAGCAATTTACATTAGTAACACGAGTTAAAATCTCTTACAGCTCATTTTTGAAGTTTTCAAGCTTTTCTTTGACAGGCCCATTGACCATGTCTAAATCTGGATTCTCAAGGCGGCATGTGATTAAAACAATTTCATCCTCCTCCTCCCAAGCATTAGCTATAAAAAAAATGAAGTCACAAAAACAGTTTGAATGTAGACAGTAAAAAGCTTTAGGCATAGCTTAATCACCAACCATGAAAGAGCACATGCATTTATTTATTGCTAAACGACATTAACTATACCATACCAAGTTACACATTTGAACAAAAATCCATAATGGTTAGTTGGTTTAGTTCTATGGGACTAGAACAGCTAGAGGAATTGATAACTTCAGTATAATAACTAGAGCAGGGGGACTAAAATAACTTCAGTAAGCCTTGAGAAATTTGGAAGGTCTGAAATTCCAGCTAGAGGAATTGAAGGATAATCCGGAAACTAGAGCAGTACTACTCTAAGGAGCCCAAGAAGAAAAACTGAAATAAGAAAATATGAATGAAACTAAAGAAGAATACTAAAACTCTTGATTGCCAAAGAAATTCCAGCACAATAAAAAAGACCAAAATACTCCTTTCAAGCTTCTAGCAATGCTGCAGCCTGAGGCAGACAGTTAGAACTAATAGAAAGAGAGCAGGTTAAGGCCTCAAGAAGCAAAAGAGAGTAGGCATAACCCTACGTAGAGCATATTGGTACGAATAGGTCCACCTAGCCAACTCCAAATAGCCAGGATTGAATGTTTACAACATTTTTAGCAGATAGACCATAGGAATTGCAGCACTTATTTAACAGTTTCGGCTGCGTACCAGCTTCACCAATTTTAGTTAATAGAATGCAGAGTTATTGGAAAACTTAATCGAAAAAACAATAGTTGTTTCAAAGGCATTGGTCCTTGCATTAAGATAGGAAGAAAATATGCGCACCATTATGGAAAATGAAGCAATTTGGAAGCTCAAACCATCTGATTAGCAAATCATCCTTTGCATACCGTGGAAGTACACCAAAGCGAGATTTTTTTGTTGGATCAAATGTGAATATCAGCTTCTTTTCCTTCACCATTTCCTGGAAACATGAAATTTTTTATAATAACATGTTAAGATTCATTTTATGTGATTGTTTGATGCTCAATAATTATTGTTAAGTTATCCATTGTTCCAGGAACTTAAGTCGATAGGAAATAGTCCTAACAATGTACAACACGCTAAAACAACACGCCCAATCTCCATGAGCCACTGCTGGTTTACATGTATAAAACCGAAGAAATTCCAAAAAAAGGTATATTTTTTGAACAAATACCATTAATATGTTAAGTAATGTTGATCCTAAAATCTTTAACTCTAATTTGACAAGCCCCACAATGCACAGAAAACCAAGATTTGGTCCCCCTAATTTCCAACTCCAACCTCTCACCCTTTGCCTATCAGTTTGAAGATTATTTGGTTGGTATGCATGCTCAAATTTATTGGTGATTAATCTTTACATAATGGATGCTCTATAACTAGTTGAAATTAATAAAAAACATTAATTTTGAAACTTCCATACCTTTGGTCTGAAGTACAAGGGGAGATCCATGAAAATTGCATAGTTCTCAGTAATTGCAAAATCATGCATCATGATTGGGGCTGCTACTGTTATTGGTATAGGATCATGCATGAAACCATCCTTGGAAATAACTCTATAAGTGATATATGGCGGAGAATGTGAATAGCCAAATGTAAACATCTCGCCTGCATTAGGTACATCATAAGTTCAGAGGAAAATTTCCTTATAAAGGCAGAATAAATTTCTTTCTATAAGAATGTGCTTACCAGTGAATGGGTCAACCTTTGGATGAGCAGTGAAGGAATGTGTCAGTCTCTTGTCATAATCCAGTAAGCC